AAAAAAAATCCCCCCCCCCCCAAATATCCTAAATTATTTATTACAGCACATGTAGTTATCATAAGAATTCAGAGAGAAACAAATATGTTGTAAAATCAAACGTTCGAATCATGGCATGTGAAACTAGGTTGGTATTCAGATTTTTAAATTCAAGTAACTTAGTTCTCAGAAATGCTGAGTACCTCCTTCCCCCCTGGACCTCTGGAGAAATGGAAGCGAGAGCAATTTGCTCTTTCTGCTGACAGGACTCTACCCAGGTGCGACACAAAGTAGTGCCTCTGTCTTCTGGGGTTTGTCAGAGGGCACTACTGCATAGTGTAGAAGTGCAAAAGCTACATTTAGAAGCAATCGGTATGAGTTTAGCTCCTGCACAAAGCAAGGACTATCCTATGATACACAAAGGACAGCTCTGTCCTCCATTGCCTCCAGCAATGCTGTGCCTGGCACTGCCCATGGCATGCTTTTTCCTCGGCCTCGGGAAGGTGGAGCACCCATTCTGAGGCGCTCTTAGGCAAAGAGTTAATATGTCCTGGTTTAGTAAGTAAAGGAAATTTCTCAAAACAGAGGATAGAACCAGCAGTGTAAAAGTGGATGATGTGGGGCCTTAAACATTAGTAGAAGATGTTCAAAAACATAAGGAAAAGATGAGACAAATACTTGTAAAGTGAGGAGAAATGTCAAAGGACAGAGTTACACACAGCCCGAAAAATTATTATGAAAATCAGAGAAGATACCAGGAGTATTACTCAGAGGGTGAATTAAGATGGCTGAATTTGCTAACAAAACGAGTGTCTTTTTTGCTCACATTTATTCTGGACTGAGTAGGGACACATATTGTTGAGGAACTGGAAGGAGGTTGAACATTTAACTTATGTTAAAGCTTATGTTAAGGGAGGATTTCTTTTCAGGACTCATCTGAGTTCATTCGCAGCAAAATAATGAGAGAATTACTTGGTTTGTTTCAAAATGTTAGACAGTATTTGTAGTAAGAAGGTAGAGCAATTTGGAAATGCTTAAGGGATTTCTGCCTATCGTAAGTCAATGTAACTTGCCCAGAGTAGAAGAAGAGGCAAGAAGTTTTGGGGAAGGGCTGCACCATTGTCTCTCCAACAGTCTGGGAACTCTACTGGGGACTGTGACCTGAGACTGCCTCAGGTGCTGACTACCAACCAGCATCAGGACACGGGCTTAAGAAATTATGTACAGTTGCCTGTGTTTATTGAATTGATTGCCCTTTTCCTGGCACAGTTTTAGCCTGATCCAAGTAACACTTCCCCTGGCAATTCCTGGACACAACTGTGGGACCCCATGGAGCAGGAACTTTTTCCAATACATACTGTGAGCAAGTTTGTTGGGGAAGAAAGTCTAGCCATACAGTCATGAATAGTGGTGTGCCATTAACTTTGAAGGCCAAAGAGCAAGCCCTAGCCCAAGATTTAAACTTTATTCAAATTTTGATATGTCCTTTGTCACCTGTAATAAATTTTACCTCAAAGAAAGAGCCTTGAAAGGACTTAGGTGTAGGATTTGCTTCTCTGCCTTGGCTGATAACAGAGCTACTTGAAGATTTCTTAAATTGGTTAGGTTCAATACGTTGATGGACAGCAGAGTAGCCCTGGAAAATCATCCTGAATTAGGCTAGGTCTCCAGGATGTCTAAATGAACAGGGAAATATTTAGGAAAGAAAAGGAAAGTAAATCCACTTTCATTAGAAGAAAGGGAGATCTTTTGGTGATATAAGCCATGTTTTCTGAGCATGGAAACAGTTGTGAAAACTGATCCATGAAAATTCTTCTTGCTGAACAAGAAAAACAAGAGATGTATTTCAAAAGTGTAGAAATTAAATCAAAAAGGATGCACAAGCCTCAGAAAGTATAATGTTGAGTAATAGGGATAAATTCTGCTACCCATGTTCAAGTCATTTTTCCACAAAAATCAGAAAGAATTTGACTTGGGACTAATGACTGCAGTTCTGATTCCTGTCCTACTCCATAGTCTGATTAAAGGCCAGAATGAGCTCTACTCATGCTGTCTGTACGGACTCCTTATGGTACAGCTGAAGTTCCTCTGTCTAGGGAACAGGGACTCAGTTCCATTCACATTATTCTGGAATAATCAGAGAGGGAAACATGAAGAGATAAAAAGGCTCTGTCCATCTCTGTTGGCCCTTTGGATATCAGATGAATTTCTCAACTATTTTTACTCAAACATATCTGGATATTTAAAGACAATAACTGAGTAACACAGTGACAGTTCTGGAAATAATGAAGTGTAAGCCACATGCAAATCTAAATTGTTTTTCATGCTTGATAAATGCGCTAGTGCCTAGTCCAGACAGATATATGTCTAACAGATATTTTGCAAACCGATGTTATGTTGAGGTCTTTTAGAAATTATTACAAGAATGCATCCTATGACATAAAGACTCTTTGTTTTGCTTGCCAGCATCACTATCTGTGATAGAAGGAACTCCAGAAGGTAGGCCAAATAAAAGCCTGATTATTGTGTCCTAAACAGCTGGCTACCCTTCAGAGAATTATCTGAGGAGCTGCCATTAATAATTTAAATGATTCCTCTGAAGTTGAAAACCACAGTTGCCAACCTCCTGCTCGCAATGCCCGTCCTTCACAGTTGTCGGGCATCTGCCATGTTTGCTTTCAATAGCTCAAACACAGAACAGCATACTTTTTCAAAACTTCAGTTGGTCTTCATTTGAAATAATTTTGCCAAACAAACTGTCTTATTTTGGAAGCTGTTAGGATTTTCTGCTAGTGAGCCACATTAAATGCTGTTTCTTCAACACTGCAAAAATAATTGTGGGCTGGCTGCACTCCACATTAGTTTGAAATAATTCAAGTTCACTAAGAAATGATAACCAGTAAAGAGACAAGTTTCCAAGCTGGTCTGGGCAATAGATCAAGGAGATCTGAAATAGAGAAAGGGTATTGAAATGAAAGGAAATGCTCAAGAAGTGGAACATCTTTCATCTTTGCTATGACAGTACCTTGTACATTTGGAAGACACAAAAAAAATAAGGTCCCAGGTCTCATGTTTGAATATAGTAAATTTTACAAAAAAAACAAAAAACCAAAAAAACAAATACCTTGAAGTGATAAAATGTAAGAGAGAAATGAGAAAATATTGAAAATAATTTTCATGCTGTTCTTCAAAAATCCATCCCCAACATTATGCAAAGTTCGATTCAGTCTGGATAACTCCCAATTGGTGATTTCAGAAGGGTTCTGTTTTTTCTCTGGGCTGTTTGTATTCTCTTTACTACTTTTTATTAGCCTAAAGAATCTATGATTAAAAAGAGTAATGCTGAACACATGTATGTTAAAAATATACTTGTTTCTCTTTCAAAATGAGACAGCTCCAAAAGGGTTTCTGAGAATGCAGAATAAAATCTATTTATCCCAGATGATGACTGCATAGAAGAAATTTGAGATGAGAAGGTGGATACTGAAGCAGTAAATGTATAATGATAAATAACTGAAACAGGAAAATCAATGTTGCACCGCAATTGAAAGCTTCAATAGCATGGAATTATCTAAGTGATTAATTTCCTTTAGAACACCCTTAGGCTTCGTATCTACACGAAATGATTACACAGAGGACTGTCTGTAAATAAGATGAAAACTCTGCCAGTCTCTTTACAAGTCTTACACTGTGGCAAGTAAAATCTCCATAGAGTAAGAAGAGTCAGATCTTGCAAGCTCTATTTAAAGCAGTGTTTCTTAATTTAAGTCAAAGGAGTTATTCATGGAACTATAAAAACATAAGTTGAAAGAGGTTTCCAGAAGACAAACAGACTCTCCTGTTTTCCTATGTAGACTCTAGCTAGCCCACTCTTGATAGTCTGTTGACATTGTTTGGTGTTCTTAGGACAGATATGACACACAGCTGCTCTGACCTGTGTCCTCAGACCCTCCAGAATTAAATAGGAAAAGTAACCATGTGTTCGGATATCAGGCACCACACTTCATAATCCCAAAAATTAGTCAATGAAAACAGATATACTGATGCTGGATTTTGAACAGCAGCCATTTCAGCATGCATGCACATCTGGTTTTGCTACCCATGATATAGGAGAAGCACTTCCAAGCAAGACGTGGGATGGACAATGGGGGAAGTACAATTTTTAATGGGCTGAGCTATTTGTACTTCAGAACCCTTAGGGAGATTGAATAGACACTCACCTCACTATGACAATATATTCCAGTATTTAGTCATTCTTTTATTTAGAAAAGCTTTCCATTGCTGCAATGAATCACAACCT